TAGCATTTGTCTTTTAAAATTAAATTTATTGTGTTATAGAACAATTATAAGCATACAGTATGATGAACCTTCATATAGTGAAGGTTTATATTAATTTTTTTTGGTAACAGATTTATTAAATTATAAATTAGATATAATTCACATATTTAAAGAGTATAGCTCCCTTGATGGTTTTAGAATATTCAGAGTTGTACAACCATCAGTACAATCAATTTTAGAGCATTTTCACCACCCCTGAAAGAAACCTCATCTGCATCAGCAGTCACTCCCTATTTCTCCCTACCCCAAAACCTCCCAGCCCTAGGCAGCCACGAATCTATTATCTGTCTCTACAGATGTGCCTATTCTGGGCATTTCACGTAAGTGGAGTCATACAATACGTGGTCTCTTTCAATTATGTTTTCTCACTTAGCTTAAGGTTTTTAAGGTTATACATGTTATTGCATGTGTAAGTATTTCATCTCTTTTTATTGCTGAATAGTAGTCCATTGTGTAGATATATTATACTTTATTTATCGACTCCTCAGTTGATGGGCATTTGGATCCATTATCTATAAATGTTTATCAGTATTCATCACATGTAACATAAAAAATATTTAAATATATTCTTTTTTTTTTCTTTGATGGAGTCTTGCTCTGTTGCCCAGTCTGGAGTGCAGTGGTGTGATCTCAGCTCACTGCAACCTCCACCTGCCGGGTTCAAGCGATTCTGCTGTCTCAGCCTCCTGAGTAGCTAGGATTACAGGCGTGAGCCACTGTGCCTAGCCTTTTTTTTTTTTTTTTTTTTGAAAAAAATTCCACCACTTAGCTAATATAAATGATTTATTCTATAATATGTAGAAACAATTCTTTCTTGGGCTTATAAACACAGACTTCTTGTAACACATTCTTTCTAAATTTTCACTGAGAGTACCATTTTTCTAATCTTGTTTTGCTCTGTGAGCCCTGTAAGAACTACCCTCTCCAACTCCACCAAATCTATCAGGCCTGTCCTGATTACACATGTACATTCATGTCATTCCTCTTGCCTTGGCCGCCCTTATATAAATCTCTTCATTATTCTTTAGAACTAACCTACTTTATGAGGCCTTGCACTCCTGCTCCCACCTTGAGTGCTTTCATTTCCCTTGACTCCTAAACTTTTAAAGTCCATCTGCTTGTTTGGCACCCAATCGTGTACATACTCTCTTATGCACATACCTTTCAATGTGCACACACCTTCCCATGTGCCACATATCTTACCTTCCTAAGTGAGTTAAAAGAGCTCCCGAGGACAGGTAACATACCCTATATGCCTTCTGGTTTTCCTTAGTATCTATTACAACGTAACTTAAATGTAAGTGATCAAGAACATTTTGAATAAAGACCACTTTCTTCTTCTCCTCCTCCTCTTTCTTCTTCTTTGTCGCCATCTTTTTTTTTTTTTTTCTTTTTGAGACAGCATCTTGATCTGTGCCCAGGGTGGAGAGCAGTGGCATGATCATGGCTCACTGCACCCTTGACCTCCTGGGCTCAAGCTATCTTCCTGCCTCACCCCCACAAGTAGCTGGGACCACAGGTGCATGTCATCACACCCAGTTAAATTTTAAGACCACTTTTATCATGCTGAATTTCTGTAAACTGGGCTTAGTGGAAATTTTAGTTAATATGAAATTTTATTTAAAAGAATGCCAGATAAGGGAATTGATCATATTAGATCATAAGATATGAAGAAGGGAGGATATTAAGAAGAAATTTTCATAAAAATAGATATGGCACATTTGTATTCTTATATTCTATGGTCATCAATAATATTCCTCAGCTTTACCTTTGTTCTAAATGGGACCAACTAGGGTATAGATGGTTAAAAAAATCAACTTGAAATTATGGCATACTCACAATATATTCAGTTTAAAGTAAAGAAATGAGTAGCAGATAACTTAAAATAATTTACTGGGTTAGCTCACAAATGTGGAGGGCTGGAGAAACCAGGCTTTGGTATCTCTAGGAGGTCAAGGTAGCAGGACTGACAGAAGTCCCTTCAGTGCACTTTCATGGGGATCCATAAACTCCACAGGTTTCCCTTCCTTGCAGCATTTCACTCCAGATTCAGAATCCTGAAAGCCTACTGGCTTCTCTTGGGTTATATGTCACTCTATTGCTCCAGGTGAAGGAAACTTAATTAACAGTCCTAAAAGCACTCTAGCCATAGGGCAGATCTACATCCTCGAAAAGGAAATTGAGCGCCATTACAAAAAAGGAGCAGTGAAGGCTAGCCTATTTGTAAAATCGCCTTACCCAGTACAGAGTATCAGAAAAACAGCTGGTGGAGAGGCACCTAAAGAATGGAGGAAGTTATGGGAGGAGGGTGCTGCTGTGACATTACAGTAAATCACAAAATGGTAGTTTTCACTGTGTTCTACTGAGACTACATGTATCTTAAACTCTGAGATGATGACAAATCAGAAGCTGTTTGTCAGCGCTATAAAAACTTGCCTTTCTAGTCAGAGCGGATGTGCATGGGAACTTGTGTTTCCAAGATTTGCTCTCTTAAATATTTACTGTGAGGATTTCTTTGGCTCTTGTTCTATATCCTGAAATGTCACCCAAGGCAGGGCATGGCAATGCAAGGTAGAGCAGAGGTATTTGGTGTAGAAAGGCATTTTTGTTTACTTAAGTTTGAAAACTGGTAAGGGAGATAATTCTCCTCATCATCCCCCATTACCTGCAACCTCCCAAGAATACTGGCTTTATTCATGATTCTGGTGCTTTGTCTATATATATTTGTACTTTTCCTGAAGTGCTGTGATTGGAGCATTTGAATGAAGGACAATGTTATATTCGTTTGTCTTCATACAACCTCTTAGTCTCTTTAGATCTTTGGCTATTTTTATCATCTCCTATTTAGTTTGGGGAGTTAAGATGTTATTTTCTTTGAAGAGGATTCTGAACAGAAATTGTAAAGTACTAAATTGTCATTAGACACACCAGAATTGTACTGTTTACTTTTACGATAGAGTAGGTACCGCAGAGGGTAAATTTCCAATGGAGGGACATATCTGATTACTACGAAAGTTTTTGATTTGGAAGTTTGGATTATTAATACAATCATGTGGTTTCAGTGTCTGGATTTTAGACCTACAGTTTTGTTCACTAATGGTTATTAGTGAACAAATATTGAAAATTAATTTGTATAAAGACTTATGGCACATGGTGACCTGAGTTCTGCCCAGGGCTCTGAAATCAAAGTAAAGAAATAAATACACAGAAGCCCAGGCAAATGACAGGTATAGCTATGACTCTCTGAAGGTCATTTAATTAGGCTGTGCGTGAAGAGATAATTGATATTCCTACTGTCTTCAGACATTACCTATTGAAACCACAGCCAAGTGAATAGTTTGGCAAAATCTGTAGGCAAAGACTCCATTGCACCTGACTGTAAAGTGTAAAGTACACCTGACTGTAAAGTAAAGTAACCTGCATTTTTCATAAAATGCAGGTTAAGTGGGAGGCCCTGCTGGGGACATGGAGGTTAGGCCTTGGATCTCCAAATCCATTGCCATGTAAGCTATTTAGAAAAACAGGGAAAATTTTTCTTTTCTTGGCTTTTTTTGTTGTTGCTATTGAGACAGAATCTCACTGTGTCGTCCAGGCTAGAGTGCAGTGGTGCAATTACTGCTCACTTTAACCTCAAACTTCTGGACTCAAGATATCCTCCCACCTCAGTCTTTTGAGTAGCTGAGACTACAGCTGCACCACCCCACCAGGATAATTTTCGTATTTTTTTTGTAGAGATGGAATTTCAGTATGTTGCCCAGGCGGGTCTTGAACTCCTGGGTTCAAGCCATCTGCCTGCCTTGGCCTCCTGAAGTTCTGGGATGACAGGCATGAGCCACCATGCCCAGCTTAGATTTTTAAATAAAGTAAACATCATTTGGGTACCAACACCTAGTAGAAATTCATAAAAATCCCCCCCAAAGTAAACTAACAGTCAAAAGAGTGCACGAACCAAGGAAGATTTAATCCAATAATTTATGGATGCTTCCATAAAAATAAAAAGTAGATATTTTATTATATTAAAAGTTATAAAGGGAACATTGTATGATTACCTTCCTACACACTGGAAATACATTTGATAAAATGTAATAACCATTATTTGTAGTAATGCTCAGAAATAGAAAAATGCAAATTCAAGACATATAAGAAGATAAAAAATTATAGCTGTAGGTGATTATATGACTGTATTGCACTCTGTATTGTGTATACCTAAGAAAATCTTCTGAAAATCTACCACAAATAGGAGAATTTCATAGGGAAGTGGGATGAAAAATTAACATACAGACATCAGTAGCTTTTAAACATACAAACAGAAGACAAATCAAAGAAATGACCCCAAATACAGTATTAGCAGCAAGTATAAAATCTATAAGAATACAATACAATGAAATATTGAGGAACATTTTAAACACTAAGAACATATATGGAGACTTTAACAAATGCAAAACATATTATGTTCTTAGAATCAATTGACATCATGAAAGGGCAATTCTCCTTACATCAATTTTTAAATTAAACTCTGTCCTAATGAAAGAATCATCTGATTTCTTTTTGAACCAGGCAGGCTGATTCTGAAGTTCATATAAAACAGGAAAATATGAATAGCCACAAAATATTGCAAAAGGAGTGTCATTGTAAAGAGAGAAAAAGCCCCAGTAGAGATTAAAATATAGTAAAAGGACTTTTATTAAAAAAGATTCTGTGATGAAACAAATGTGGCAATGATGTGTGAATAGACAGACCAATGGAACAGAATAGAATATCCACATACACCTAAGAATTAGGAATTTCAACTGGCTCTTCGTCTCCAAAATAATGCACAACATTCATACTATAAGAAATGCAAGTTGAAACTATGATGAAATGCTATTTTAAAACCAATAAATTTGCAAAAACCCAAAGTTTCACAACACACATAAAATCCTGGAGACCATATGAAATAGTTCAATTCTCTTGAACTCAATTTGGTAATACCTGGGCTCAAGCCATCCTCCTGCCTCAGCCTTTTTCAATATTTTCTGAAATTACAATTACAAATGTATCTTTTCTTTGATTCGGCAATTCCTCTTTTGGATTTTACCTAACAGATGTGCGTATAAGCAAAAATACATGTGAATGTGTAAGGTTTTCCACTGCACGTGGTTTTTCATTCAAGTCGTAGGGACTGGTCGAACAAACTAAGATAAAGTCCCATGCTGGAATATAGTGCAGCAGTAAGAACTGAATAAGGAAGGTCAGTATGCATTGAGGTGAAAGATCTTCAAGATATTTGTCAAGTGAAAGAGAACAAGGCACATACCAATGTATATAAAGTGCTGAAAATTAGAGGAAATCTATATTTGAGTTTGCTAGTGTATGCTTAAAGAAACTTTAGAAGGATATACAAGAAACAAAAGGCATTGGTGACCTGTGGAGCAACTAAGGCTTAGATGGGAAATGCGTAGATAGGGGATTGTATATCTTTTGTCTTTTTTCATTTTTGAACCATGCAAGTGTTTTGCCTATTCAATAAGTAAATAAATAAGCAAGCATGCAGCCACATGGTATACGTACATCCTATGTACTTATAAAAATGATACTATCTGTGTATTGATAGGGAAAGTATCTCAGGATGTTAAGTGGACAAAGGAAAGTGGGGAATGTAATGTATAATATGCTACTTTTTTTTTTTTTAATGAAAAAGAGACATTGAGAATATGTGCTTGATTGTGCTTATAAATGCATAAAGAAACTGGAAAAATACTCCAGTTGGTGAACATTGTGATATGCTGCCAGTTCCCCTCCAGGTTCCCCTCAGGAATAACAGATTCCTTGCTGCAGCTATCGAGAATGCTGTCAGCCCTTATGGGGATAGACTGCCTCCTCTGAAGGGAGCCACCTCACCTTGGATCACCTCCCATTCCTGGGTAGCCACATCCAGTGCATGATCAACATGGAAGTGTAGAAGGGCAGCTCTCAGCACCCAGCTCAGGACAGCTCTGAAGGGCCATCCCAACTTTAGAAATCTCATTCTTTATAACTGCAAGGTTATCTGCGGCTGATCTTCTCCCTCTGCCATCTGTGCCCTTCCATAGGCAGCAACTTGAGAGCATTCCTAATCAGTCTCCTTCTTGCTAGGAATCTGCTTCCTAGGGAACCCAAGAAACTAAAAACTAAGAACCTAAAATTGGTGGTTCCCTCTGGTTAGGCAGGGTGGGAGCCTGGTGAAGCTGGACAAGGTTGAGAAGGCTATATTTCACTTTATGTCTTTTTATAATTAAAAAAATCATACCATGTGGATGCATCAATCAAATTATAAATGCAAATGTATTTGTTGACTTGCTACGTCATTGATATTTTATGCTTTTCCATGTACATCTTTGGAGAACTTTTTTTTCACTTTAGGAGGAGATATTTTAACCCCAAATGCTGTGCCCTGCCACACCCTAAATATGCTTTTCTTTTCTGTTTGTTTTTTTGTTTAGGACCTGCAGAGAAATACCTCCTTGATTTTGTCTTACAATGGAACTTAAAAAGTCACCTGATGGTGGATGGGGCTGGGTGATTGTGCTTGTCTCCTTCTTTACTCAGTTTTTGTGTTACGGATCCCCGCTGGCTGTTGGAGTCCTGTACATAGAATGGCTGGATGCCTTTGGTGAAGGGAAAGGAAAAACAGCCTGGGTTGGATCCCTGGCAAGTGGAGTTGGCTTGCTTGCAAGTAAGTGGATACATTTATGCCTCTCCTTATTCTTTAATCATTTAATTACATTTACTATATCATGAACATTATGCAAGGCATAGAGAGCTTTTTTTTTCCAAAATATAACATACCTTTTCCTGCCTTCATTCAGTGATTGTATTACTCTTCTACTGTAACAAATCTGTGCGAAAATACAGGCACTCCCTAAGATGTTAACTCATCCATCCATCCATCCATCCATTCATTTCTTTTCTTTTTTTTTTTTTTTGAGACAGAGTCTTGCTGTGTCACCAGGCACCAGGCTGGAGGACAGTGGCACAATCTCGGCTCACTGCAACTTCCACCTCCCGGGTTTAAGCAATTCTCCTGCCCCAGCCTCCCAAGTAGCTGGGACTACAGGTGCACGCCACCACGCCCAGCTAATTTTTGTATTTTTAGTAGAGATGGGGTTTCACCATGTTGGCCAGGATGGTCTCAGTCTCTTGACCTTGTGATCCGCCCACCTCGGCTTTCCAAAGTCATGGAATTACAGGCGTGAGCCACCGCGTCCGGCCCCATTCATTTCTTTATTCATTTATTTTCTACAATGTGCCAGGCAGTGAACTAGATGCTAGAAATGAAAAGATGAACCGCAAACACATGGTTCCTGCCCTTAAGAGGCTTACAGTCTTGTAAGAGACACACACGCATGAATAAGAATGAATCAGGGAGATGAAGGTAATGATACAGGTATGTTCAAGGTACATTGGTAAGGACCAAAGGACCAAATGGCTCTCAGCAGCCCTCTAAGCAGTTTCTACATGGCTTATAATTACTCTTCTCTGCTTCAGATACACTGTGGTCAAATCACATGTCCTGTGGTCATGAGAACTTCATAAGAAGACGCTGACATAGCAAAGAGTCTCACAATGATGATGTTCTTAAGGATTTTAATATAGTGTTATGTATAAGATATATGCGATATATTTTGTGTGTCTCCAAAAGTAATATTCTTGATGAACAGTTACATAAAATGTAATAGTGATTCCTGTCATCTTTAGAGAGAACACTAGAGACTTTATTTTCCTTTTCACCATTAAAATCATATGCCACTTCAACTGGAGTCATAGTTTGAACTCTGGAGTAATGTTTAGTGACCATTACTCCAACATACTTGGAACTATTTAAGCACAAAAGTGGTGATCTAGATAGGGTCAGTAGCCCTGGGCTTTCTTCCTGTGTGCTATGAATTCACCATTGTTCATTGAGCAAATCACAATCTCTATTCTTGTGGGGGAAATAAGGACACTAAATGTAAGTATTTTTAAGATTTTTTTTTGTAAGTTATTTTTCAGCTCTAAAATGCTTTCATGAAAATATGCTTAACTACGTATTTTGCAGGCTACATAATTTGCAGGCCCCAGTGCAAAGTGAATATACAGAATCGTTGTTAAAAAATTAAGAATTTAGCCTACAATTCCAGCACTTTGGAAGGCCAAGGTGGGCAGATCATGAGGTCAGGAATTCGAGACCAGCCTGACCAACATGGTGAAACCCTGTCTTTACTAAAAATACAAAAATTAGCTGGGCATAGTGGTATGTACCTGTAATCCCAGCTACTCAGGAGGCTGAGGCAGAAGAATTGCTTGAACCCAGGAGGCGGAGGTTACAGTGAGCCGAGTGCGCCATTGCACTTCAGCCTGGGTGACAGAACAAAACTCCAAAGAAAAAAAAATTAAGAATTTATTGACAGCAGGGCACTAAACCAAGTGTGGGATTCCTATAAGCACTGGGCCCGTGCAACTTGCATAAGTCACAGATCCAACAAGCCAGCCCTGCTTGTAGGGACCCGAGAGTTAGGGCATCTTATCAAAATTCTGGGAGACAACAAGTAGTTGAAGGAGCTTGAGGGTGGAGTCAGAGGCTAATTCAAGTCCTGGCTCTACCAACATTGAGCTGAGTGACCTTATGCAGGCCACTTAACCTCTCTAGGTCCAATGTCATTAGCTAGATTAAGAGACACTTGGACCTGGTGAGCAAAGCTTTTAAGAGTGAGCATAGAAAAATGAGGGCAAAGAATTCAAAAAAGAATTCAAAAAAGTTGCAGGGGAAGAAAGCATGGCTAAAGAGCTACAACTTACATCTGTGTGTGTATATATGTATATATACATACTTTAGATAGTGTGTCCAGGTTTCAGCATAGCTGACTCCACTGTATATACTACATTTGATGTTGGCCGCTTTGGGTTCCTCATAGCATAAATTGAGAAGTGAACCCTGAAACAGTGTTTATATAGTATTAGCAAGAAGTATCTGGCAGTGTGCAAGCCACATTGACCATCTGCTTTAGAATAACTTTGTTCTACAGAGAAACAAGTAGATCATTACTACCTTGGAGATGGAACACGTATATTTCACCTTGGTGACTCAAATGGATATCAATGATTCTTAACCAGGGAGATAATTAGGATCATCTATAGGACAATTTCAGCATATAAGTCCGTGGATTTGACACTCAGACATTCTAATTCATTTGGTCCATGATGGAGCCTAAATTCATGAATTTTTTCTATTTTTTTTTTTTGAGACTGGGTCTTGCTCTGTCATCTAGGCTGGAGTGCAATGGTGCTATATTGGCTTACTGCAGCCTCAAACTCCCAGGTTCAAGTGATCCTCCCAACTCAACTTTCCAAGTAGATGGGACTACAGGTGCATGCTACCATATCCAGCTATTTTTTTTTTTTTAATTTTTTTTTGAGACAGTGTCTCACCATGTGGTGCAGGCTGGTCTCAAACTCCTGAGTTCAAAGGTTTCTCCTGCCTCAGCCTCCCAGAGTGTTGAGATTACAGGCATAAGCTACTGTGTCTGGCCTCGTGAATTTTTTTAAAGTCCCTAAAATGATTTTTAGTTGGGAACTACCACTGGCTTAAGCCCTCTATATTTAAATTTCAATCTTTCACTTTTTGATAACTCTCTGATATATGATTTGCTCTGACATTTTTAAAAATAAAGAGCTACTATAGATTTCTTCTTGGGTATGGCATTAATCATGCCATGGAAATCATAAAAAGTCAATTGTCTGTAAAACCTGCAAAAAAAGAGAAACACTTCAGGATGAAAGATGAAGATAGTTCTTGGAAGTATGGGCAGGAGAGGGAGCTGGAACTTTGCCAAGATTGTGCCTAAGCATGTGAAATATAAAGGCCCACTCCTGGGCTTTGAGAAACCTGGATTAGGACAGTAGCTTATAATAGCATATTAGAACTGTGAAAGGCATACAGTTCTGAATTTTACACTCTTTATAATCTTAATTCCTAATTCTTTTTTTTTTTAAACTTGAATAATTGAGAAGAAAATAATTCTTCCCCTTGCCTGAATTCTTTGTTTGTATAGATCATTCCTGGGATGAATAAAGCTGGGTAGGAAGGATCCTACCTTCCTGGGTTGTACATTGCGACTGAGCTCATCCTCACTGCATATATTCCTAAGGTCTCTGAGCTAAGGATGCCGTGATAGAAAACACCATCCTTGTTTCTAAGAGGTTTGTAATGTCAGAAAAGAGACAGAAAAAAAAAGGTAACTAATAATTTGAGAATTCACAAGTATCAAGGAGAATAGCAATGGCTCTGAGGTTTTAGAGAGCTAGGCTTTGAGGAAGCTATTGAGATGGGCCAAATAGGAAGATAGACTTTCACTGGCAGATAGACAGGGAGAGGGAAGTCCATGCAAATTACCTTTATGCAGAGGCCCGGATCCCATAAGTGCAGGGCTGTGATCTGGTGAAGTAAGTTTGGCTGGAGTGGAGGGATTGTGTTGAGAGGTGTGACTGTTAGTTCTATGTGTCAAACTTGGCTTCAAACACAAATCTAGGTGTTGCTGTGAAGTTATTGTGTAGTTGTGAATAAAGTGCATGTCACTTAACTTTAAGGTAGATTATCCTAGAAAATCTAGATGGATTTTGCTCAATTGTTGAAAGGTTTTAAGAGTAGAAATGAGCTTTCCCAAAAGAAAAAATCTGCTTGTAATTGCAGCTGCAGCCTATGCCTGAGAGTTCCAACATGCCCTTCCTAATGACCTGCCCTACGAATTTTTGACTTGGCTAGCGAGGAGGGTATTATCTGGCCAATCGTGTAAGCCAATTCCTTGCAATAAATGTCTTCATATATGCTTCCTACTGTTTTTTTTCTCTGATTGAATTCTGACTGATAAGGGAGGAATGGGAGGTAACTGAGCTAGAAAGCTATCATGGCCTTGCATGATTTTAAAATGAGCTAATGAACCCTTCACTAGATATTATTCTCCAAATTCAAGGAAACCGGGTGGTGCTGTTTCTCACACTACCCAGTTGCTGAAACAGCCTCACAAAGTGCTGGGATTACAGGCATGAGCCACCATGCCCAGCCAGTTATTATATTTTCAAAATGTTTTGTGAAGATAAAAAATTAGCAGCCCCCTCCCCTTTCCACCCCCCTTTTTCCCCCTAAAATTGTTCAGGTCCAAAGGTGTGGAATCACTGGTTCATGTCATAGGTAAATTAACTTTGGTTCTAAAGTTCCCTTCTGCAAAGTTTTCATTTTGCCTCATAAGAAATCTCCTGAGAGTAGCCCTTTGATTTAATCTGTCTCTTGAAACTCATCCAGTGCTGAGGAATAATACATGATTTATCATCTTGAAGGCCTTGCACTGTTACTGCAAAGAGCTAAACACATAAATGTATCACGTTTTGCAGATGTGACTTGATGGTCACTTTGATATATTTTGCCTTGTTATTGATGAAACATACGACTATTGTGTTTTAAATCTATTGAAATAGAATCTATAAATAAACCAGGTTCTCAGGATAAGGGTAAAATAATTTGCTCTAAACTACTGAACACCAAATGGTTATAAATTTTATGTTTTCATCTAACATAAGTTCACAAAACTATGTTATCTATAAGACATCAACAAAAGTACTATTGCCACTGGTGAATCCTTACAGGTCTGCAGCAAACTTGATCCTTGCTTCCTTGGAGGAAAGAATTCAGCCAAGGGGCAGAAATGAGTTTAAAGCAGAGAAAGAGACCAAGGCAAGTTTTAGAGCAGGAGTGAAAGTTTATTAAAACATTGTGGAGCAGGACTGAAAGGAGGTAAAGTACACTTGGAAGAGGGCCATGTGGGCCACTTGAGAGATCCAAATTCCCCATTCAGTCCTTGACTTCAGGTTTTATAAGTTGGCATGGTTCTGGGTTTTTTTCTTCTCTCTTGATTCTTCTTCCCTTGTGGTTGGCTGTTGCTCAACTGTTGCATGTGTGGTGTTGGTCATTTGGGAGGGTGACCACGTGCGTAGTGTGTTTACTTAGGTTGTGCTCATGCTCCCTAGGGGCAATTTTTCTTAACCAGTCAAATGCCCCCAGAGGAAGGCCGTACATCCACCATTTTCCCTCTTAGTGAGCATGCCCCACTTGCTCAACTCCTGAGATCTTATTGGGAAGCCGCTGATCACCAGCTCCAGGTGTTTTCTGTCCACTGGGAGACTGTCTTCCGCTGGTGTTGGCTGTGGCCAATTACCATTTCAGAGAAACAGTTTAATAAACACTTGACCATCACCTGATGGTTACTTGAAATTCTTGGGTGGGGCGAGGGCTCTCCTGCCCTGCTCATGTCTGCCTAACTATCTACTCTAACAGTACACTGATGTTCTTTACTACAAATTTGATTTCTAAGCAAAAATTAAGATCCCAATTGAAATATTTCTCATTCGGGAAGAATGCTGGGCTGACTTTGGCCTTAGCCTGTCATTGGCTAGCTATGGACTCTTGCTCAAATCACATGATCTTTCTGAATTCCAGTTTCACCATTTTTAAATTGAGGTATTTGGACATTTTCCAACTTCCAAAATTTCAGCTCTAAATTTTTTTGTCTTTAATCTCTGATCTAATGATATAGTTCTCTAAATCAGCAGCAGATGGCAGTGTAAAAGTAGATAACTTTTAAAACCTCTTTCAATTTGCTGTTCACCTGTAAGAGAATTTCTGTTCATTTTTTTCCTTAACACTTGAATTGTTTTTCAAAAAAATCATTTGTTAGGCCAAAAAATGACTTGAGAATTTGTTATATAGTTGATAACAATGCTGCATATTTCATACAACAGTGGCTTTGGTTGTACATGCTATGAAAATTACCCCTTCATCTTGCCCTGAGACTCCCAGGCTCTGAGGTTTCCCTGTGGAATTAACATGTATTAAGGAGCAAAGAGTTAAAGTCCCATTTTGAGGATGAAACTTGAAACTTTTCAAGCATGCCAGGAATAATCTCTGTGTGTTTTAAAATTGCATTGTGTTGTAAAATTTGTGAAAACTTACATTCAGTGTCAACATGATTTGGTAACAACAGAGAAGGGTCATGTTTATGCTGTCAGACATCCGTTAGTAAAATTAGACTCTGAAAACTGTTTCCATTTTTGAAGTATCTAAGTATTTCTCATTGTACTGGATGATAAGTTTGGTCTTTCAAATGGATTTTCCTTTTAAAACACTGGCAAAGAATATTTCCCTCTGTTTGTCATGTAAATGTGCCAGTCTCCTCTTCTGCACTGGCTCACACGAGGGCCTGAAAATGGGAGGGTCCAGTTCTTGACCAGGAAGGCATGTGGGAGAGCCTTAAGCACTGGGCGCTATGATCTCAGTATATCTCAGGGGCCATAAACTGGTCTTAAATATGTGTTTAAGAAGTTCTCAGGGCCGGGCGCGGTGGCTCATGCCTGTAATCCCAGCACTGTGGGAAGCCGAGGCGGGTGGATCAAGAGGTCAAGAGATCGAGACCATCCTGGTCAACATGGTGAAACCCCGTCTCTACTAAAACTGCAAAAAATTAGCTGGGCATGGTGGCGTGTGCCTGTAATCCCAGCTACTCAGGAGGCTGAGGCAGGAGAATTGCCTGAACCCAGGAGGCGGAGGTTGCGGTGAGCCGAGATCGCGCCATTGCACTCCAGCCTGGGTAACAAGAGCGAAACTCCGTCTCAAAAAAAAAAAAAAAGAAAAGAAAAAGAAGTTCTCAGGTATTGGGAAGAACATAGTGCCTCAGTTATAGGATCCTGCCTCTCTGTCATTTATGAATAGTGAGACTATGATGGATTCCATTGTTTCTCCGAGGTTGCTTCAAAAAGGAGTAAAAGACACAAACATACAGAAAAGTGTATGTATCATGACAGTAGAGCTCCATTAATGTTCATGAACTGAACATACTCATGTAATCAGCACATTCACACCAAGGACCAGAACATGAGCAGTGCCCTGGAAGTTTGGCTTTGCTCTTTTCTGATTTTAACTCCCCAGCCCCTACTACAGATAGCCAGTATCCTGACTTCTAACACACATTAGTTTCGCCTGTTTCTGTAGTTAGGTGTTTATCTGGGTGTTTCTGTGGGGTATATACATAGAATTGGAACTTCTGGGTTTTACAGCATGCTGTGTTCAGCTTTAGTGAACACTACCAGCAGTGTGTGAATGTTCTGTTCATACCACTTTCTTGCTAACAGTATTGCCTGTCTTTACCATTCCGGTAGGTATGGTGTTTGAAAATTGGAGATCATAGCTTGAAAGGTTGTCAACTCAGTTCAGATATACTTCTCTTTGCTTCCAAATCCTTAGTCTTTCTTCTACTGTAGACTTAAACAGCTTCTTTGAGCTTCAGTTTCCTTCCATGTTAAATGAGACTATTGGGCCAAATAGCCCTTAACATCCTTTTACTTCTAGTACATTAAGTTCTGTAGTCCTGGGTACAGTCCTAGTAGGAAAGAATTTCACTATCACTTAAATTCTGTTACATGAGCAGTTGCCCGTTTATGCATAGAACAATTCCAGGTGATGGTCCTTTCGGCCTGTTAGTTAGCAGAGCACAGTAACACTATAAGGTGGGTACTATTATCATTCCCATTTTCAGATGAGGAAACTAAGGCACAGAATGATGAAATAATTTGCCCAAGACCAAACAGCTACCAAGTGGTAGGGCTGGAATTTGAATAAAATCTGACTTCAGAACCCCCATTTCTTAACTATGTGATCTTATCATCCTTGCATTTCATTATAAAAAAGAATGGGACTAACAATAGTATCCACCTCCCAAAGCTGCAGTAACATTAAAATGAGATGAGATTGTTCACGTGAACTGTCTCACATCGTAAATACTCAGTGGATGTTTATTTTTGTTGTTGTTTTATGACGGAAAGAATCATTTTGAACTTATGATGGGTGGATCATATGATAATAAGTGAAGGTTTCATTTCTTTTTTTAGGTCCTGTCTGCAGCCTCTGTGTCTCATCTTTTGGAGCAAGAACCGTCACAATCTTCAGTGGCTTCATGGTGGCTGGAGGCTTGATGTTGAGCAGTTTTGCTCCCAATATCTATTTTCTATTTTTTTCCTATGGCATTGTTGTAGGTAAGGAACCTTGTCACTGTGACATTCCTAACCTTCAAGAGTGACACATCATTTCACCAGTGCCAGGTTTATGATTCTTTTAACGTAAAGGAGTGAAAAAGCTCGCTAATAATTTACTTTCAATGACCACTTCTCCAAAAATTGTTGCTTTAGTTAAAAAAAAAAAACCTGCCCAGTGAATCAAAATGTTTGAAAGGACCAACAACCCATACCGTGTCTCCTTGCAAGGCACAGGTAAGTTTTTCATCTCAGCCCTTGTCTCTCTATAGCACTGAAAGGAAAAGTGAGAGAAGGGGAACATAAAACTTGGATGTTGTTGACATTGGTCACTTCTCACTAAATTATAAAGTGGCCCTTTTCCTGTTGGGCAATAAAGCATGATTCTTTGAAGCTGTTTTTGCTCACAAAAACAGCTGTTTGCATTCCATAGCATCTGTTGCTGTGTGCCCAAGTCAAAAGTCACAGCACAGGTAAAAAGTCAATCTGAAAGCATGTATTAGTAGTACTATTTTTTTTTTTTTTTTTTTAGAGCTAAGACGTGAGCGAAGAAAGCTTAGTGATGGGATGATACTGGTTACAGGGGAGGAAAGCATAGGAGGCTCAGGGCCTTAGAGTACTGATAATTTGGGAAGATATCATTATCGTGTCATTACACTAACTGTGTTCAGTGTTAAAAATCACCAGACTTGGTATTTCTAGGAGCTGTTGGTGGGGCCTTAGAAAAAGATGACCTCTAGTTTTCAAGTTTTTTCTTAATGCCTGAAAAGAGCTAATTTTGTTGACTACCAATGTTCCTCTTTTCTGCTTGGAAATATTTCTTCAATAATAAATAATAGAAAATGCAGCAACTAACATTCACCGAGTACTTATCATGTGCTAGGGACTCTGCTAAATGCTTTATATGATCTCATTTCCTCTTCACAAAAACCCATTTTACAGAGAGGGAAAGTGAAGCTCAGAGAAGTAAAAATATTACTAAGTAAATTAACAAAGCGAGGAGACTTGGTCTGACACATAGAGATGGACACTCAGTAGTCCATGTAGATGGGATTTGATAGTGGTTTGGGCTTACACCCTTGGCTGTTGCTACTGATGGTGGAGTCACAGGACTTCCACTTGACTTTCCTCACTACGATGGCATTGTGGGGAGCAAGAACTCTTACTGTTTAGGCCAAGAAACCAAAGAACAGTGTATGGAGTTCTACCAGCTATTGTGTGTGTGTGCTATAATTAAACATCAGGGACTGAAGAAAGGACCATTGGCTGGGCAGTTGGGGCGTAATTCCATATATCACCTGCCCCCATGTAAGCCCACTCTAAGGGGAAGCCATGCAGACTCTTCGTGTCTCTAACAACAATGTTCAAAATGTATTTTACTTTCCTCAGTGTATGGTTACCTAAATAGATGGCCCTAGTTCTCTTTGGGGAAAGACTCAGGTTTCATTCCATATATACAAACTTGTCGTCATGTTCGTTGCAATGTCCTTCCTCCTAGAGTCCTGGTCTTTCCTTCAGTTAGTGGATTCCCTGTCAGAAATCACGCTCAAGTCTGAGGTCGTATATGGCTCTGATTTGGCAATAGGTTCTGATTATCAGTGACTAAGAGGAAACCGTCAGCTCATGGAGGGAGCACTGGACTTCAGGTCAGCAGACACAGGTTCTGTGAGCTTGAGCAAGCTCCTTAATCTCCACGAATGTCTGTATCCTCCCTCATCTGTGAAGGCAGGCTAAGAAACCTATCTCATATGGGTCTTGTGAGGACTAAATGATGTCAAGCAAGATAACAATAAAATGAAGAGTTGAGTTAGATTTCAATTAATAAAAAAAACTCTCACCATGGCACTTATTGGGGACCTGTGAGTGACTGCTTGCGGGTGAATTATCAATATTTACCACCACTGTTGATTTCCCTGCAGTTTTATTTCATCAGTAGGCTCATGGTAGAGAGCTCGTGGAATGTTTGCGGGATAAATAAATGGGATAATAATGAACATTGGCACTTTCATTCTGTTACCATTTGAAGTAGAGTATCAAATTGAGAAGAAAGTGACAGAAAATTATTACACAGTCTAAATTAATCTCATTTCTGTATTGTGAGCTCTTCAGAAAAACAAGGGTTCAGTCTTATGGTAACATTTATAAGATGCAATTCTGTGCGGAATCATATCCTAAGGACTTTCATTTGTCTGGAATGAACTAGATGGCCTCTCAAGCTAGTGAGTATGTCCAAGGGAAAGATCAGACACTGACTAGCAGGCAGGCTCTGGGGTTGAACCATGTGGGTTAGCCTTCTTTTATTCACTTGCCATCTGTGTGACTGTAAACATGTTTTGTAACTTCTGTTTTCTCATTTTTCAACCGAGCATAATAATAGCCCTTATAGCAGTTTATGAAGATGAGTGACATAATGCAATGAATGTTAAGCATAAACAATTGTCATTCATTTTGTGACCTTGAAAAATTATTCAGCCTCTCTGAGCTTCCATTTTTATTTTTTTATAAAGTGGCACTGATACGAGTTCACAGAGGTATTGTGACTATTGATGAGATGATGTTTATAAAGAGGCATACAGAGATGTTTAATACACATTTATTCCTTTCTCCTTAAATTTCTTTCTGATCTGTATAGCAGCAGTTTTTGGCTACTGAAGAAGCTCTATTGGATCAGAAATATTTGTGTAAGAGATTTAAAAATATAGAAAAAGAAATTATTTAAATTGGATATTACAACTTAAAATCTCAAAAGAATACTAAAAGTGTATTAATTGGGATAATTCTGTTTACCATTTAATTGATCTTTACAAAATTATCAATTTGAAAATATGATGTAATTTTGTTGAGGTTGTTATTAGCTCAAATGAAAGCCTGTACCAACTTGTCAGATTGCAGAATTAATTGCAATGAGGAACCTGATACCATATCAGTATAACTTTTGTGCTCTGTTATAGTAAATCCACTTGTTTATTCTCTACTTTGTTGTTGTCGTTGTTGTTGTTGTTTTTGAGATGGAGTCTCCGCCTCATGGGTTCAAGTGATTCTCCTGCCTCAGCCTCCCAACTAAGCTGAGGCTACGGGAGCGCACCACCATGCCTAGCTCATTTTTGTATTTTTAGTAGAGATGGGGTTTCGCCATGTTGGCCAGGCTGGTCTTAAGCTTCTGACCTCGGGTGATCAGCCGTCTTGGCCTCCCAAACTGCTGGGATTACAGGCATGAGCCACCGCGCCCGGCCTCTGTTTATTCTGTACTTTAAATAGATCTTCATTCAAACCTGATTTTGTAGCATCATGCATTGGCTATTTGAAAAATATTGGTTAGCTGAGCTATGTAAGAACTTAAAAATATTAACACATTTTATTGTAAAACATCACTTTGGTTAATATTACCAACAAGCTCACTGGAAATCTTTATGTATTGGCAAGTGATTGTAAGGCACATGGCCAAATCTGGTGATTGAGGCTCCTGTTTTCTCAGTAACTTTACTAAATCCGGAAAAAGGCAGTGCAATGGGAGATGAAAATTAAGTGGGTAGGAGGTGGTGGTGCAGGGAACATGCCTGTAATGAATTGCTCAAGCTTCTTTCTAGTAATTTCTCTTTGCTTTTCTGAAAAGCACAACTCAAAAGTCCTTGCATTCTCTTTTCTTTAGAATACATTGTTAGTTAGCTACCTGATTATGTTTTTGTTTTTGTTTTTTTTTGAGATGAAGTTTTGCTCTTGTTGCCTAGGCTGGAGTGCAATGGCATGATTCCAGCTCATTGTAACCTCCGCCTCCCGTGTTCAAACAGTTCTCCTGCCTCAGCCTAAATTTAATGATATAAATATATATATATATATAAATTTATATAAATATATAAATTTAATATATTTTATATATATATTTAGTAGAGATGGGGTTTCTCCATATTGGTCAGCTGGTCAGGCTGGTCTCAAACTCCAGACCTCAGGTGGTCCACCCGCCTCAGCCTCCCAAAGTGCTGGAATTACAGGTGTGAGCCACCGTGCCTGGCTTATGGTTTTCTTAATATTCCCTTCCTAATTTTTGGAAGAATTCCATTTTCTTCCCCCCACCCTCCTCCATCACCTATTTTTTAATAATGTCTGCATAGTCCACTGAGACTGGGGAGGGAAAAGAACATGTTTGTAGACAGTCTGATTCTCCTACTCTAATTCTGGCAGATGGGATAAAGGGTATTTTCTTTATATCCATTTTAGGAGAACTAGAGCTTTACAAGCCCCCCCCCCCTTTCAAAGCTGTTATAAAATTAAGGATAATTTTTAACTCTCATGGATATGCAGGTGTAGTAAGGTACTATGATTTTTTAATGTAGTCTGAGGCAGTATCTACATAATGCCATAATACTCAGGTGAAAAATGAAAAAAAGTATACCAATATCATGGCTATTTTTTAGTACTCACGATAGTGTAGGCACAGAAACTACATCTTTATATTTTTTATGCCTCTTAGTTTTTACAGCGATCTTACAAGATTGTTTTAAAGATAAGGAAACTAGGAATTAGAGAGTTTAAATGACTTTGCCAAAAGCACACAACCAATTGTCTAGTTGTGTGCCTTTGGAATAGACTTGAAAATATATAACTTGTAGCACAGCACACTAAGTGTAATAATGAAATGAAGCCGATGTATGTGTGTGTGCAGGGGAGACAGAGTGGAGGCTTCATGCTGAATTTATGCTTGAGCTGAGTCTCGAAGAGCAGGCAGGATGTGGTTCAAGTGGATATGGGTTGGAAGGGGAGTGGGAGTGGCCTGAGGAGGACATTTCAGTAGCCTAAGTACTCAGAGCCTGGGAGATAGAATAAATAAACAGCAGTCTTTTTATATGCCCTCGTTTAGGAATGCACAGATGGTGTGGGGAGTTGCAAATATGTCAAAGCATGGTGTGTAACAGGCCAGATGCTAACAGTTTTATGTGGTCTTCATTGCAAGAGCATGACATGATGAGAATTGTATGACAACAGTTTAGAAGACAGATTGGCGAGAAAGGTACTGAAGGCTGAGACTGCTATTAGGAGGCCTTAGATGAGATAATAAAAGATGAGGAGGTGAACTGAGGCAGTGTCAGTGCTGAGAGAGATTGAGGTTTATAATTTAGGCTGTGGGTATGATAAAGAGATTGATGTCTGCTTTGATGAGAGGAGATGAGGTTGGAAAGAGGCCTCTGAAGTTGTGGTCTCACCCAGAAGTGTGAAATAGAAGGTAAAGTGTAGAAAAGAAATGTTACAACATGTAAATACATTTAGTTTTTACCATTTAAAAAAGGGAAACAATTATGCCTTACTAATATTGATGCTGTGAATTGTCGGTAATACAAGTATTTACTTTTAAAATTGTTATACTTTTACTTGAGGTTGGTACACAGAATTTTTTCACTGGTAGGGGTCTGATCCAAACTGGTTGGAGACCAAGGAATGCTTTAAGGCAGTGGTTTCCAAAGTGTTTAATCTTGGGACCCTTTACATCCTTTTATTTGGAATACCAAGAAGCTTTTGATTATGGGGATTATACTTAGTCTATTAAAATGTACTGTATTAAGAAATAAGACATTGAAAAATATATGTTTTGTCATTCATTTCA